AGCCTGATGCACTGCATGTGAGGCCAAGCGGCCTTTATGCTGCCATAGCTGCTGCTGCGTTTGCTGCTGCAGCAGCTGCTGCTGCAGCAGCTGCTGCTGCTGCTGCAGCAGAAGTAACAACATATAAAAAAGCAAATGTCTGCTGCTGCTGCATACATGCAGCTCAACAGCAGCAGCAGCTGCTGCTGCTGCTGCAGCAGCAGCAGCAGGGAGTTTAGCTGCGAGCGCCTGCGGCGGCTGTTTACTGCAGCGTCCCTGTCCGTATATCTCTCTGCTGCTGCTGCTGCTGCTGCTGCTGCTACCCAGACACGACCGAGGCTGTCTCCTCTGGTGTATGCGGAGACACCTCAGCAGGCAGCAGCATCTGTGCTTCGAAGCTGCTGCGTTTGCTGCTGCTGCTCTTGCTGCTGCTGCCCCTTTTGCTGCTGCTGCTGCTGCTCTTGCTGCTGCTTTTGCTGCTGCTGCTGCTGCTGCTGCTGCTGCTGTCGTGCAGCTCCTCTGCGGCTTGCGAAGGTCTCTGACTCTCTGGGGGGGGAGCAGCAGGCTTGCCTTCGTCTGCTGCAGCAGCAGCTGCTGCTGTTGGCGATGCCAGTGCTGCTGCTGCTGTTGCTGCTGCTGTTGCTGCTGCTGTTGCTGCTTCTTCTTCTGCTTTTGCTGCTTCTGCTGGTGGCGTTTCTGTTTGTGCTGCTGCCACTGGTGGTGCTACTGCTTCTGCTGCTGCTGTTGCTGCTGCTGTTGCTGCTGCTGCTGCTGCTGCTGCTGCTTCTCCTTCTGCTTGTGCAGCATCTGCTGCTGCTGCCGACGGCGTTGCTGCTGCTTCTGTATCTGTTGCTGCTGTGTATGCTTCTGCGTTCTGTTGCTGTTTCTCATTACTATCACTACTAATATTATTATTTTTATTATTTTTATTGTTTTTATTGTTTTTATTGCTTATTAAACTATTTATTTTTTTTTTTTCTCTTTGTTGCCTCAGTCTCTCCTCTACCCATTGCACAGCTACAGCTTTTTTGCTTATTTTGTTTATATCGATGACGAGCCTAGCAGCAATAGACTTTCGTACCTTTCGGGGTTTCTTTGCTGCTGCTGCTGCTGCTGCTGCTGCTGTGTCTGCTGCTGCTGCTGCTGCTGGTTTGCGTGAGGCAGGCAGAGGCAATGCTGCGCCGCTTTGGTTATAAGTCACAACAGACGCAGACAGACGGCCACCTGAACGTGCTGCTGCTGCTGCTGCTGCTGCTGCTGCTGCTGCTGCTGCTGTCGAGCTGCGGCTTCTATTTCTCTCTTGCCGCCGCTGGTGCTTCAGCTGCTCTATCTTTGCCTGCGTCTCCATCTCCCTATAAATATAAAAAATAAATTAATATAAAAAAATAAATTAATATAAGTAATTATAATATAAATTAATTAATTTATATAAATAAATAAATACATAAACAAACGAGCCATTTGGCTGTTGCAGCAAATGCATAGAAAAAGAAACAAACAAAAACAAATAATAAACAAATAAAAAAAAAATTAATATATAAATAAAATAAAAACAAAAATAAACAATAAATATAATATCTAACACACAAACACACTTCTATAACAAACAACAAAGCGACGACAATCATAGTAAAATAATAAAATAAAATAAAACAAAATAAAATAAAATAAAATAAAATAAAATAATAATAAAATAAAATAAAATAAAATAAAATAAAATAAAATAAAACAAAACAAAAAAAATAAAACAAAAC